GTCTACACGTCTCTCATCCTCTACCTGTGTAGAGCAGCAGCGGGACGACTTCCTCCTTCCGCAGCCCTGCTTCCTTCACTCGCTCCTCCGCCATCAAGCCCTCCACGTCGCGGATGCGTCTGATCCCCTGCGAGAGCTGCCGCCGCATGCTCGGGTCTGTCACGGCCTCCCACTCGCGCTTGGGCGTCGTGACCTCGTTGTGGTTGGGCGGAGTGAACGGCTCCTCCGAGTCCTTCCTGTGGCAGTGCTCGTCCTCTAGCCCCTTCCACAGGTCTATGCTGGGCAGCCCGATGCGCTCGATGAGGCCCCCGTGAAACTCCTCCAGCCTCCCGAAGATAGCTTCCTCTCCTTCCTCTATCGAGAACTTCGCGTTCCCTCCCTCTGACCTCCCTCTTGACCTTCTCGCTGATGCTGCCGATCTTCCTGAAACTGCATCCGATGACGTCACCTGGACGGCTTCGAGCACGTTTGCGATGCGTCTACCGCACGCCTCCTTCGTCTCCCTCGCTAGCAGCCCTGACAAGGGAGACCTCGGGCTGCCCCCGCCGATCTGCTCTGCGACCCTCCGCAGCACGTCAGGCCGGGCGAGCATGTCCTGCTTGTACGCGAGCTCCCACTCCCTCGCGATCGTCCTCATCGACACTACTGCATGTCTCAGCGAGACGCGCGAGGAGGTCGGCCGGCAGGTTGAGACCCAGGCAGAGCTCGCTCACTCGCCCGTGACCTGCCGTCATGTCCGAGTCTTGGGAGCGACTGAGGTACAAGACCTGGAGCGTGTCGCGCATGTCAGGAGGAAGCGTCCACCGACCTGAGTCTGACGATGACGAGTCCTCGCCTTGTTTCGCCTTGCCTGACTCGGGGATTGAAGCTTCTTCAAGCTCATGCAGCTGCTGTAAACCGACCTCAGAGTCCGCCTCAGCCTTGTCTGCTGGTCTGCTCTGAGCTTCTTGCGCGCGTTCGCATTGACTTGGGTTTCTCTCCTTCAGCTCGTCGGGTTGATCTCCCTGGTCTAGCGATAGCTTGACTAGTGCTTGCGCCTCCTCTCCCTCGATTTGTCTTCTTCTCTTCTTCCTCTGCTCGTCATGTAGCCTATCGGCCTCTCCTTCCTCTGGCTTTCGCTTCTCCTTCTCTTGTCTCTTGCTTGCTGTCAGGCCTGGCGTCAGAGTCGCCTGCTGCTTGTCGTGATCATCCCTTTCATGCCCATGCCCATGCCCATGCTCAATCCTTTCATGTGCTGACGTCATCATCACTTGCTCGCTGGCCTCCTCGTCTCGATGCTTCCTCCTCTCGTCTAGACTATCCGACCCCACCTGCCCTCATGCGTCAGACCCTCATACCTCACGGCTACATGTACATCCGGCCCTACCCTAGAAGCCGAAGCCGCAGACGAGCCGCCGGTCGTCAGTCTTCTTGTCTTGTTGCTCTCGCCTGCGCATGGCTTAGACGATCGTAGTCTATCGCCTCTACCTTACCTCCCCCTTCCTTCACAAACGCCTCGAAGCTTCTATACCCTCCAGGCCTCTCGCACTCCTCCAGCCCTCGGAAACCCTCTCTCAGCTCCTCGCTCCAGCCCTCCTCGCACTCCCTCCAGTCTGCCCTGTACCCGTCGCTCCTCACGACCCAGCCTGTGCTGCTTATCCACGTCCTCCAGCCCTCTAGCTCTTGTCTGTCGTTCTCTTGCTTGTTGTGATAGTATTGGAGTAGACAACAGTGCAAGAACACGCTGCTCAGCTTGGTCATCTTCAGCATCATGACGTAGCTTCTGACATGAACGGCTCTGTCCAGCACATAGAAGTAGAATAAGACCTCCTGACCACCTCCAGGCATCATCTCTTCTCGAAGATGCTCTTCGATCTTGTCCATCCCCTCCTCCCATGATACCGACGGGTCCAAGCACCCATCG